GGGAAAAAATTCTATTCATAGATAGCCACCACGATCACCCGATTTATTGCCACTAGATTTTTTTCTTTGGGGACACATAAAAAATATTTTGTATAAAACAACACATGAAAATTTAAATGAATTAATAGAAAATTTTGAAGCTGCATTAAATTCTATCTCCAATGTTCATATTTACAACGCTATAAATAATTTAAGAAAGCGTTGTGTTCTTTGTATTAATAAAGAAGGCGCGCAATTTGAACATTTGTAATTTGATTATAAAAATATTAACCTTTTTTGTTATAAATGTTGGTTGTTAATGGTTTACTTGTTTTTTGTTCATTGTTTTATTTATTAAATTAATAAAATTCTTATTTTTGTTAATCTTACTGCGTTAAAACACATTCTTGTTATTTTGCAGAAACTGCGTAGACTGCGTAGGTAAAGTAAATTATATGTAGTAACTTAAGAACATTAGTTTGCATCATAGTGTGGTTATCACCATAGCAACATTAACTTTTAGATACACACAATTGCTTTAGAAAGACCAAAAAGAAATATTGTTAATTATTCAATAACTATAAGAAATATACCCAACAAACTATATATATTTGTTATCAGAAAAAAATACCGAATTATTTTAGGCCATAGCCAACTATGGTTTCCATTTAAAAAATTAAAGTTACTTGCAAAATCTCGAAAATAAAAGGTGGGAAAAAAATTCTACCTACGCCACTGAATTCTTCGTAAAAAGTTGCCCATATAATGTATTATTTATAATACTCCATCTTTGATAATAAGTGAGATATTCGCGATTGTCGTTTTCGCAAAATTTTCAGTTTTTGCCGATAGGGCGAAAACAAAAGACGATAGCTGTTCGGAGTTTTCGGCATTAGCATTTTCTCGAAAAACGAGATCATGACATGTAAGCTACTTTTTTTCTATCTCTTTTAGTTTCGGAGATAGCCTATGCGGACATCGAAATTGGGACACCTGTACATAATGGGAGATGTCCAAGTGAATGAGGCATAATAGTAAGGTATGAGGCGACGCATTAAGATAATTAAAACATTGTTGCAAGTAATCTTCCAAACTTTTGCATTTTCCGAATGACCTAGCTATCGCACCCACTAGTGCCTTGTCAAAGTCACATACTACCTGTTTTGGAAATGGAAAATTTTGTTTGTATGTCCCAATCCTAACTATTTCATTTAACCAGTACATTATTGCATTAGCGTTTTGTGTAGCACTTAACATTTGAAATATAGGCATTTTTGCTGCTTCCGATTCTGCAACTATTTGGTATAAATATATGTTTGGTGATAAGTCATTATTCGGTAATTTTAATTTCTTTATTAATGAGCCGGTGGCGTCAATACATATAAAATTTGAGTATTCTATATATATTGCCATTTGTTCAGAAGTCCATGGACAAAAAATGGATCCAAACCAATAGAATGGATACTTCCAGAATGAATTCCATACTTCATTTCTTTAATGCTCTCCAATGGATCGGTCGTCAATACACCTAAATTAACGTTGCGTCTTTCCTCTTTTTCTTTTCTTAAAACTTTTAAATTCGGTAAATGCGGAGGCTCCTTATTTCCAAAACGCATGAGCTTATTACTTTTATTTCTACGCCATATACATGGTAGTATATTTTTGTCACATATGTCTTTGGAGACATTGACCCTTCGTTGTCCTATTAGTTGGCGCTATTGCTTATGCATTATTATTGAGTCGTCAAAATTTTCTATGACGCATTCTATAGAGATTTCACCGTCCGCTGCAGGTCTTTTGATAACACAACCCTTAAACGTGCAGTCACATTTCGGACAGTGGCCAGATACAGTTAAAAAAAATCCCGTTTGCGATATTTTACAATGCTTAAAGGTTAAGGGACATGGAAGCTGTGTTGCATCATGAATTTTAGAACATCTGTCCAAACCCTACGTGACATCGTACTTTCTTTCTTTCAAAACACTATCCGCATAAAATACCTCTTCGGGTGCAATTTTTAACCATGCTTCGTAAAATAAATTAATATTAAAGTTAATTATGATGTTATTGCTACTTTCATCCAATATACTGTCAATATCAGTTTTATTATGTAAGTTAGTCACTTCATAGTTGAATATTTTCAAAATTTTGTCCCAAATACCATATCTATTTTGTTGTAAAATTACATAGATATACTTAGGTTTGATATATTTGGTGCCATCAGAATACTGCTGAGAACTGGCACTAATTGTTGTATATAGTTCATTGCTGGGTGCAACGGGTCTTCCGTCTGGACTTATTATATCACGGCAATTTAAAGAAGTAATAATATCTAAAATGTTTTCAACGTGCTTAGCCATATAAAACAAGATCTTTCAACGTAAGCGTAATGACTATGTAAACTTGCTGTCCTATTCGATACGGTCGCACTCAGCCATACGCTAGTAAAATACACCCTACACTTAATTCACCTAAACATTGTGAAATAGTGATGAAGAATATCTGCGGTCAACATAAAAAGACAATGAAAAAATGCGGTGACTGTATTTAAATGAAAGTATGGGCCGCATACTATTCTGTACAGGATTTATTTTATAACTTTATACCTACCTACATAGTTTATTGTCACAGATAGAAGTAATCTTTTTTATTGAAAATGGTAGGTATAATATGCGTAGTATTATCTTTTACAGTTACTAATGTATAATCAATGCATAACATGAAGCTCAGAGACAAATAATAATGTGCAAACTTATAACATTTTTTTTACTTTGATGCATAGATGAAGTATGGATATCTATAGAAGAGTATTGTAATTGTGCAAAAATACGACGTCGAGATTTTGATGAATCAATAAGTTTTGAGGGCCCTGAATCCATTTTGATTGTACAGTGTGTGTAAATACGATAACTCAAAAACACTAGGTTGATGAATTTTTATTAGTATATTAAAGTACAATTGAGGAAACTAAGATTTTTCATTAACGCGTATGTCGGACTTTCACACGAACCAAAGGCTCGTGTGGAAAGACATACAAGTTAGTGGAAAATATTAGTTTACCACGTGTGCTGTAAAGCGTTTTGTTCAATCCTGTCTTAAAATTCGTTAATTCCAGGGTAATTTCATGTCAACATGTTGGCGACGACAACAGTTTTTGACATTGTCATGCTCTTAATTGATATAAACAACCATTTGTGTCAAATTCTTAATTGTCGTCATTATGCATAAAATTATTAAGTAAATTAAGATTTATAATTTATATAAGTGAAATACTTAATTACCTTTCCACGTGTGCTGTCCACCGTTTTTTAGTTAAACAAAGAGTTGTTCCTTTAAAGGTTTTATATTTAGCTAACAGTGGTTGAAAAAATTAGAGTGAGTGAAAAAAAATCTCACTCACTCGTTGCTATAAAAGTCAGCAGAGTGAATACAAATAACAATTTTCAAGTCTATTATCCAAGTTATAAAATGACAATTTCGAAGGTAGGATTGAACAAAAATTATTTGAACATATTTGTTATGACTTGTATCATAACTGTATAAAACCAGAATAGTAACTAAAATAAAACCCGTACATGTTTTATTACAGTACTTTGAATACAGTCTAATTACAATGTATTGTTCATTCATAATTGATTTTAGTACACTTAGCAAATAAAATCCAACTATAATACACGTTTTATAGTAATTAAAATATCAGTTACTATCGTAAACGTTGCAAGTTGCACAAAGTCGCACGACGTAGACAACAGAATAATTTTATGTTGTTTATGGGAAGCACAGGATTTACGAAATGATTGTACCATATATGACCCTCGCGAATAGGCAAACAATGTTATACGTATGGTATTCAACGTGTTGACATATCTCTAACGAAGGCGAATAAGATTTATTAAATATTACTTCTAAATTATAATTATTAATATTATAATTATTTTCTTTGTTAATAATAATATTTAAAAGTATTGTTTATTGATATTTAATAACATTTGATGACTCCTACTTTATTATTGAATTATATATTATTTCTGAAATAATACAAGGAGTACAAGATCAAAAACAATAGGTAAACTCTCAAAACACGTAAAATATCAATGGCTTTTCCTGCCATATATCGACTTATATGTCCGTATAGCCAGAAAACCATTTTTTTCCAACTTTAAACATAAAACACATCTAGAACAATTTGAATCGGCAAAGTTTGAGTTATTTTAGATTGTTCTATGTTTTTTAATTCTTATTATGTAATATAAAACCGCTGACACAAGAATTACTGACTGAAACTACCAAAAACTTTAATTTTCAAAGAGTAAAGCTTTGAGTGCTCTTTAGAGTGTTGTTCTAGTGAAAATAATAGCTTGTTACAAGTTTAACTTGTAATTTAGTATAGAGTTATAGTTTTTGCTTTTCTTTAAATTTTTGGTTGGAGTTCGTCACGACATCTGTTGTTCGTTGTTGATTGTTCTTTTGATAAAGATCTCTACCCTATCTCTTACTACTATCAATGGTTTGGTTAGTACGCATGCGCCGATGCATTTATCTTAGGCGTAATTTCAATTTCCGCTCTCTTCTGTCGTTGCACCTGTTGATGTATAGACGTGGTTGATACTGACCCTATTGACGCCTTAAGGTGGAATTTCGTTGCGACGTCCAGCGTTCGCGGCCCGCCGCGACGTCCGGCAGTCAAGCACTAATACAATGCATACAATGGAATTGATTTCGTTGACGCGGCGCGTCCCGACGGCTCAGCGGCCAGCCGTCGACGGCTGCGTCCCGACTGCTCAAAAACATGTCGAGACGCGAACGCCAACCGTGACTTTATATTTGAGAGGTTATATTTGCATGCAGAGTTCGTATTTAGATTAAAAATGTCGCAAAAATTTTCTCATGATGATGACGAATTATTAATTGAACAAGTACGTGAATATCCTTGCATTTACGACCATGCAAATAAGGACTTTAAGGATCACCAGATTCGGGAAAATGCGTGGAATAAGATTGGTGTAGTGTTATTGAAGAAATGTAAGTATGCATGTATATATTTGTGCTAGCTAAGTACATTATATTAAATTATTTATATTAAACTATTTATATTTCTGGGGCACCCTGTATAAATAAAAATTAGTTTAGAAAATGCGCAACTAAAAATAAAAATTAGCGGGTCCGAATATGTTTTCAAAAACAAAAGAATTTTAAGTGAATTTATTCCAATAGTTTTGCGCTCACTGTATAATAGCATACAGAAATTAACTGGACACTCTAAAAACACGATCATTCTGCCAATGGAGTGCCCCATCCTCATTAAAAAACTGGGTGAACATTTCCCTTACTTCCAAACCATTTGCACTTGCAAAGCCACCTGCTCCTGCTAATGGAGTCACATTGTTCGGGATCTGTACATTTGGATCATATTCGTAAAAGGGTCGATTGCCTTTCTCCAAAAATGCATCTCTTAACAGATTGTGCAAACAACAAGTTACCATGATCAACTTATCACACGATTCTGGATTTATAGCTATTGGTGTGTAGTAAATGCGAAAAATTTGGCTTAAAAGACCAAATGCGTTTTCAGTGACTCGTCGAGCTCTGCATAATCGATAGTTGTAAATAGTTTTCCTCCTATCCGATTTAGCAGATAATTTGCTGTATGGTTTCATTAAATGTCTGTGTAATCTAAACGCTTCATCGCCAACTACAACATACGGCAACTTTTTGTTCGAATTGGGAAGCATTTCGTCTTTTGGAAATAATTTTCCAGAGTACACTTGTTTGCCCATTTCAGAAGTTGAAAAAATGGTACTATCTCCTTCTTTTCCATAGGCACCAACATCCACAAATAAAAATTTGCAATTTGCATCTACCATAGCAAGCAATACTATTGAGAAATAATCCTTGTAATTGAAGAATAGCGATCCGCTTTTTCTGGGACAAAAAACTCGAATATGTTTGCCATCAACTCCTGCGACGCAGTTAGGAAAATTCCACTTATTCCAAAATTCCTGTGCTTTTTCCTTCATATCTATTTCATTTTGTGGTGGTAGAAATATAGGAACTAAACGCAGACATAGCACTTCTAATGTTTCTCGGACAACAATTGAAATGTAGCTGGATGAGATACGAAAGGCAAATGAAAGGGATTTAAATGTTTCACCTGTAGCTAAAAACCTAAAAAAAAGAACATCAAAACATCATTCGATACGATACGATACAATTTCATGTTTTTATATTATGTACCTATTCTTATTTTATTTTTCCAGCCGAGGATTGTAAATTGCGATGGAAAAATATTCGCGATAACTACTTAAAACAAAAAAGAAAACAAAAGCAAGGAACTGGTTCGGCAGCATCAACAAGACCATCAAAATGGCATTTATACGAACAGCTAACATTTTTGGAACTTCTCAAATCTGAACGAAGGTATACTATCTCTTTTGAGTTATGTTTTTTTAAGTTTTCTTATTTATTTATTATTGTAGCCGCATTCAAAATTGTAATGTACAGCAAAACACCGAATCATCTCAGAATACTCAGGATAGCGGCGATGAAGATGTTCAAACTGATTCGGAATCGCAATCAAGAATAATTGAAGACGACGTAGGATCACCAGATTCCATACATTTAAATCAGCCAAATCCGAAAATACTAAAAAGAACAAACATGGACGATAGAAGCCGTTCAAACACGCCAACTTGCAGCAGTTCAACACCTAGCAACGCAAAAGCGAAATTATTACACGAATTGGAAGAACGGTCTAAACATCGTCTTCACGTTCTATCACAATTAACGCACCAAAAGGAAGAAGATGAAGTGGATTTATTCATGAGAAGCATCGCTCTAATGGTAAAAAAGCTACCTCCCAATTTAATATCGCAAGCAAAGTTACAAATCCTAACACTAGTGACTAATTTACAAGCATCTTCCCCAATAATAAATATTCCACATACACAGACACAACCCCACCAACCACAGGCACCAACTCCAACATTTTCCCTCAATACTTCCCATAATACAAGTACACCTGACGATCATACGCCCACTACGTTTATGACACCCTATTCAAACGACTATTACAACATGAAATAAACTTATATATTGCTTTTGTTAATTAAACGTGCATTTTTGATAAAATTGTTGGTTTTTTTTTAAACATCTGTATTTTTTTACAAAGAAAACATCCTTACCTTAAGGTCAACGCTAACTTTTCCTCAGGAGAAATTGGGTTTTTCACACAATTTGTGGATTGTTTCTTCAAATCTGCATGAACGAGATTCAACACAAAATTAAATTGCTCTTTATTTAGCCTGAAGAAACTGCGAAACTTTTCATCATCGGCATTGAGATGATTTCTTATAAGTATTTCAAAATACCCTTCTTGGTTTCGAGATTTATATAACTCGCTAGTGTCCTCACGAATGGATAGCAAAAGCCTAATATCATCATCTTCTTCTTCTTCTAGCAAAATCAATGCCGCTAACGTCTTCCTATCCATTTTTAAAAAGCACCTTTCACTACAGAAGCATGAACATAAATGCTGCCGAAGCACAGACTCAGACGTTCCAACGAAATTCACGCGAACGTAACGGCTGGCCGTTACTGCTGGACGTCGCGGCGGGCCGCGAACGCTGGACGTCGCAACGAAATTCCACCTTTAGTTTGACACATTGTGAGTTGGACGAAAGTTTTCTATAACTTCAGCTCGTGGTTCGTTGTTTTACGGATATATTAAGGCCGATTACTTATTTGATCGTTGATCGAACCGATATTTTCGGATTTGAGGGTTAACTCCACGCTTCGTCCATTACAACTTGTTGATCTTTTTTTGAGACAGAAGAAGGGGTTGCCGTGAGATTTATTTTTTTGTAAGGACTTCTTTTTCGTTTTGAAGGTCATTTCTTAATTGGTCTCTTCGTTGGATGTTCTGGTTGACCTTGAATGTCCTGTATTAAAGGTCGCTTTGCATCGTAGATCGAACAATAATCTGGTATAGTCAGCTGATGTCGCTACCCTAACCTAACTTCTTATTTGGTTGTATACGATGGAATACATCTAATAACGAACTGGAATGGGATTGGTTTTGGATAACTGCCGAATTCAAACCACGATTGTTATTTTGAGATAAGTTTTCTTAAAGCTTCTATTTTGATAATTTTCTCTTTTATATATAATAATTTAACTTAAATTTCTTTTTTGTTGATCTTGAGTATTAATAGTTAATGTAACTGAATTCATGTTTAAGTATTTAGATAATGTTCAATAATAGTACATTTTCACATTAAATAACAGAGAGAGATAATCGTAATTAAATCTGTTAATCTTTGAGGTTATTTTATTTATGTGTGATCTTGACTCGCAAGATTTTGGTTTGTTTTGTGGACCAGTAGAGTCCCTGATTGAAGTCAAAGATAGCTATCTATGTCTTACGTTCACTATCAAATAACATTCATTTTGTTTAATATCAATTTTATTGATTTCATTGATGATGTAACAAACCGCCCTGTATATTAAATTGCGTTTTGTATAATTATTTTGCTTAAGTCAGCTTTATCGCGTGAGGCGTTGATGCGCCACCGAGTTGAACTCGGGGAGTCGAGTACCAACTACCAAGGTAGATAGAAGCTACAGTCTTCCCCTTGAGTTCGCTCCATTTCATTTTATTTTTAATTTAAATTCTCAATACTAAATTCGGAAAGGCTTCTAAATACGCTGGCGGTTAGTGCTGGGTAATTTGCTAGAGAAATCGAATCCTCAGATCGAAATTGTGCCTTGAAGCCAGTTCCTGAAGCGTCCGAATCCTGACGGAAGAGCGTCGTCGTGGCATAGAATAGAAACTCATAATCATCGCTAGTATTTGTATCCATAATTAACGTTCCGTTATCCAAAATTTGTTCAATTAGTTTTTTTTTCTTCTTTAATATTTTAACTTAATTTTTTCTGGTTGATTTATTTTTCTATTTTTTTTTTTATATTTTAATATCCTTAATTTAATATATTACTGTTTTTTTATATAAATTCTTGTTTCGTATTATTTCAATTTCAACACAAGGGCTACGATCCTCCCTCCTTTTACTCATTAACTTCTTAAACCGTTCGGCCAAGTACTTGCCTGGTGGCAGCATCTTAAAAATCTTCTATAATTTTTTCTCTTTTTCTGCAAGTACACGCTACCGTACTTCTATCTTTTCCCGTCCGTATAACGTTGGTGGTGGGTGCCCCTTTCTTCCTCTAATATTACAATGATTTTATTTTTTTTGCGAGAATAGAAGTAAGACTTTCTTTAACCATGTTCATAACCTTCAGATTGTTTGACATCAAGTTTTAATCAACGTTCGATTTATTATTTTTTTTCACTCTCTCTCTATGTGACATTTCGTGTCTCAAAAGGAGTCACATAAATTTATTATAATTTTTTTTTGTGTATTATTATTAATTTTTTTATTGATTTATTATATTGAATTATCACTATATTTTCTTTGTATTATTGCAGTAGTTCTCAACATAATTCTCCCCATTTCAATCGTTCGTCGCTCACATTACCTGTTCAGATATTTTATGTTTCCAAGTTCAACATATTAGGTATACTATTTTAGAAGTGGAAAAGGTAGAGCTTGGTGGCGCCCTTTTACTATCTATACTTATTGTGTTTCTCACTCTTTTTGGATCGTTCTCCCACGACCCAATCTATAAGACTGAGCTATCGAGCCTTAGCTTCTAATTTTGTCACACCGAAAGTTTCGGCACGTAACAAGCTGTTCCAGATTGCGTTAGCTATAATAAGTATATACTTGTAATATGGAATTGATAATAGAAAAACTATGGTCACAGCAATCAACTAGACATTTCGGCGGCCAAACCTATTTTTAGTTATAACTTCGTAATGCTGTATCCCATAATTTTGATTTTCTAGAACAATAACTAGAACAACTAGAACAACCCAGAACAACAAAGAAAATTAGATTTTTCCAAAAATGGGGAGCTAGTCAAAAAAACCGTTTTTTCGGTTTTCTCGCGGAGTTTTTATTTTTTCGATTTGCCGCTTTGGAACAATGTAGAACAACTCTAGAACAATCTAGAACAACAATAAAAAATTTAAAAATCAAAAATGGGGGGCTAACTTCCCGCACTCGACTGAAGCGAGATCGGACCTGTTATGACTTAATACTGACAGTGCGAATACACTTTTTTGTTTCAACTCCGGTCTTTCATCGGTCGTGCAGTGAGACGTTACGTTTTTCTTTTAACATGGCTACTAACATCGAGATATACTATGTTTACTGGAGTGCGTGCTTTGAGCTAGAAAACGAGCCGGCCTCCCCCACCCCATAACGGCAAAAAGCTTCAACGTAACATACGGAAAAAAAAATTATATATTTTTTTTTTTTCTTGCCTATAATAACTTAAATATGTATTATTTGGTATTTTTCATCATTATTGAATAACATTATTTGAATTACTTAGTAAATATTGAATAAATTCATGCTGAATTATATCCATTAAATTATATGTATCTCGATGGCTACTAAGAAATCGTGGAATTCTGAAAAAGATAAGTATTTATGCGTGTAATTTATAACATTTGATCATAAATAATTACACTATAATTATGTTGAAATAAATTAAATATAAATTTGTATTTATTATCTCCAGATAAAATATTGATTGAATTAGTAAAAGATAAACGCGGCTTATATGATATGCAGTCACAGTACTATGGTGACAATCATTATAAAAGGAAAATGTGGAACGAGATTGAAGAAGCAGTTGGATTACCTGGTAAGTAAAATTACAAAAATTATACAAAATTTGATATTTATTTAATTGCTTTATTTTAATTACATCGCAAGATTTTCCTGCCACGGTACTGAACCTTCAGGAGAGTTAAAGAAATTTTTAAAAATTTCTATTATGTTTGTCCCTGGTAGAGGCGAATCTATTGGAACATGCAACGTGGCATTTTCCAGTCTTTTTCCCAGTGCAGACTTTGCAAAAATTCCACCATCACTGTTTTTTTCCATATGACCCAATATTCACAGCAATGAATTTGTAATTGGCGTCTACTAACGCCAAAAGAACTATCGAAAACGTCTTTTTATAATTAAAATATAAAGATCCACTGTTTGCTGGAGCTTCTATTTTTACGTGTTTGCCATATACTCTGTTAATAACACCCTGTTAATTGCTCCGCAAATTTTGAGAACTATGCTCTGTACTGTCGAATGCCCAAGGCGATAACTAAACGCAATTGTTCGGTAGGAATCCCTGTAGACAAAAATCTGAAAATGAAAAGATTTCACAGTATTTGTTTTGTACTATACATAATTTCTTTTTATCATAGGAGCAAAGAATCGATAGGAAGGACTACGAACTCAATATCGAAAATACCTTGCTAAGTTGAAGACCAAGAGTAGCCAAGCAGCTACAAAAATTTGCATATGGCGATATCACGACCAAATGCAATTTATTAATGAATTTATAAATTGTGACAGACCACGGATATCTACTATCCACGAGGAAGGAGATAATGAAAATATTCATGATATACATATCGGAGAGACAGATGGACGAACAACTATGTCAAAAGAAATTGATGCCAATGAGGAAGTTAAACTGGACATTGATCTTGTCAATACGTTCACGAGTAATGTACCGCCGCCGGCTCGCAAGAAACAAAGTAAACAGAAAAATACAGGAATGCAACAGGAAAATGCATCATCGACTCTAATGAAGTACATTTTAGATAAAAAAGCAGAAGAACATAAAGTACACCCTATTGACAAGATGGTCCAGGTAGTTGACCATTGTACCCTTGTTCTAAAAATAATTTTCAAGTGTTTCACATTTAACAGCAAGGGAAATGGGTAGAGGCAGGTAGAATTATTTTGTCAACAAAAAACAAAACGAATGTATACATGTATCTTTTCATATTATAATTTTTTCTAACTTTTTCACTTTTTTGCAAGTAAAAGTTTAATTTTTTTTAAATTTCAAAATTCCTTGTAATATCAATGTTCTTTCTATTAAGTCTTATTTATAACATTTATGTTTCATTAAAAAAAGCCATTCATTTTTTTAACTTATTGCATACATATTGCATACCATTAATATTGTATTTATACATATTTTCTTATAGCTTCATCCTCCAACAAGCGAGTAGCAAGCATTGATGAAAAAATGCTAGAATTCATTAAACAGCAAACAGAAATGCTGCGATTAATGGCAGCTAAAATCGGTCAGGCAAACGTTACAGATTCATCGAGAGTACCTTTACCATCAGCATTAAATATAGAAAAAGGTGATATTGTACAGAATTTTGAATACTTCGTTAAAAGTTGGGCAAATTATTGTATTGCTACCGGAGTAGATAAATGGCCGGAGTCAGACAATAGGAAGAAAACAAATTTTTTCATAACTGCTTTGGGTGAAAAAGCCTTGGTTCAATATTATGAATTTAATCTGACGGAGGATGATAAAAAGGATTGCAACAAGGTTATCGAGATTATAAGAAAAAATCTGGGAGGTGAGAAAAATGTAATATATTTAAGAGCTCTTTTTAATAGTGCGAATCAAGCAGATACAGAGACTTTTGAAGAATATTTAGTTAGATTGCAACCGTTGATACATCCTTGCGAGTATAAACATTTTCAAGACGATTTA